TCTTTTAATTGTAACTAAAGAAAGTGGTGGGCGCTCATCATTTTTGATTAGACTCACTCTTTTAGCTTTTGATACAGTAAGATTATTTTTGCCAGGAAATTACTTGACAACAGAATTGCCTTCCAGACTTTAATAGGTAATAACAGATCTATTCCTGTCGAGAGCAAGAGCCGCTTCCTTGCTTTCAACGCGAGCGTTATCTCCTTTTAACTATAATATTAATCCATATAAGAAATGAGATTTTAATTTCAGATGTTAATTTTAAAAAATTCATTTTCCAAATAAACATAGAAATTTCCAAATTACTAAATAAAAGTGGTTTAAGAAGGAAGAAGAAAAGAATACAAAAAATCGCATAAGCGAATGAATCGTTTAGCAAATTTAATGAATCCTAAGCCACTTCCTCTCGCGTTATATAATAATTTTTTGATTTACTAATGTGCTCTTAAAAACGGTTGAAAAATGCTGTGCTTGAATGCAGAAAAATCAACATTATTTTTAAATTTCTATGTATTGCCATCTCTATATAAGTATATATTGTTTAAATTTAGTGGTTAAGGTTCTTAATGATATGCCATTTTATGCTTAAACATATACCTTGCACTGGTAATTATATTGCACAACAGCGCATGTAAATAATTGCTTACTTGCTCATGCAAAAAACTTCTTTGAAAATTGCTATTGCTGAAGGTTGAGGTGATTTGGTAAATCAGTTACAACCATTATTAATTATTTTATCCACAGTTAAATGTGAAAATACTGAATGGCTGAGCGGAATAGCTTAAATTGCTTCCATCGTAATCTTGTAATCAATGCATTTTAATAGATAAACGAAAGTTTGAGTTCCATCGTAAGTTAACAAGAAGATGATTGAATTCTCAAAAAGATAATTGTAGTAAGGAGAAACAAATAGATTTTATGATTTAGGATGTTTCAATGTTTCATTGATGAAGCAAAAACTGAATTTTGAATTCTGCAAATATTTCATGTCATTCCTACTTAGTCTATATCATTTTATCACCGTGGAAATTAATTTCAATGAAGTGATAAAGAAGAATCACGATTTTCGCTCGACCAACCTTTTATCTCACTCGATTGTAATTTGATGAAAAAAAATTGATTTGCTGATTGTTTGTTGGCTGCAATTCGCCTGGTTTTATCCCATAGGGAATCGATAAGGAAATTATTATTCTTCGATCGTTAGAGGAAATAGTTTTGTGGTTTTGGGTCCATAATTGATTTTTTGAAAGCATTTATATAAGTCGAAGTAAGTTGGCGAAAAACTGTGCCGTTGCTAGAGCGTTTTTTTTATTCCACAGAAAGGTCTAATCATTGCAGCAGTGCACGAAAATTTTAATCCCATAGATTGTTAAATCATATCATAACTTTCAGTGGAAAAAAAAACTAATAAAAAAAATCCAAAGTCTTTAGAAAAGCGAAATATGGAGGGAGGATTTTCAGTCGAGATCAGATGCCCTGGATTTGGTTCTTATTCAGTAAAGATATGTTAAAGACCCTTATAATCTCTTATTAAATTTATTAAGAACAATTTTCGACTGATAAATTGAAAAATATTAAATGCAAATCATTTGTTTCTTTCCTTCCGTTGAATTGAAATGAATAAGATGCTCACTAATGCTTTATTTTCCTTCCAGTAATCATTTGATATGCATTAATTTTAATTCAACGGAAGGAAATGTTATTTATAATATATAAAAATTAAGTAGAAAATGAGCAGTCAAATCTATATCGACTTTTGCTTCTTTATACTATCTTATATCTTCATAACTACCATTCATTCACATTATCTACATATCTTCATATAGAATCACCATTCCTGATTAAGCATAAATATTTTTTGGCTAGAAAATCACTTGACTAAAAGTGTAGATAGATTCCCAGCACTACCCAATTTTGATTTTTGTTTACATCCCTTAGTTTCGGCGGTCCAGAGAGAAAGGCAAGCAAGATGATACTGAAACTGGTGATCTAAGCCAGTAGTTCTCAAAAATTCTTTCCATACTTTTCTTCTATTTCCATATTTTTTTGTAAAATTTTAGTTTTTTTGAGGGATTCTTAAGGTCAAAATATTCAATAATAAAAAGATATTATTTGTTTATCTTCATTTTTTTCTGTAAGGAGGCTTACTTATAGCCCAAGTTTTAGCAAACTGTGTAAATTTTTTAACTGAAGACTTTATTCAATAAGAAAAAAATTTGGATTTGGTAGGTAAATCTTTCTCAATTCGAACTTCAACAAATAACGATAGGCATAATCTGAGTAGAGGATTAACATTGGTCTAAGCACCTTTTGGTCATAATGCCTCCTTTATGCATATAAAGTTAAACAATATATGATGTCTTTACATGCCCACGTTTTTCGAAATTTTTATTTAAAGTTTTTTTTTCTGAGATAAGGAAATGTGAGAAAGAAAGCGCCAATTACATTTCTAGATTTTTTCTTGCCTTGCCATTTATTTATATGGCAGAAATTTCATTAAAATGCTCCGTTACTCTGTTCTTGACGGGTAATTTAGAAATATTCGCGACAACATATGTGACAACTTCTAATTCATGACACCGCTTTCACGACTGAGTAATCATCACTCTACGCTTTGAAGCTCGGGTAATTTCTTATCTGTTCTTAGCATGTGTAATATTATCTATAATAACGTTACAGATCTTGCCTATTCAGCCTAAATTTCCCATAAATAAACCATTTGAGACAATTTTTCAAGGTTTTTTTTTCCTTTCAGAACGTTTTTAAATGGATGAAGGCCAGTTTGGATAGGATGACCGAATGGTATATCGTTCTAACTAACATCAAGTCCATCATATGTCCACTTCAGTTTTATAGGAAATTATTTTTGATTTTATCAAATAGAATTCAATTATATCAAGAAAAGAATATAATTTGCTTACAGGACTTTTATTAATTGATTGTCCAGTACTATTCTTGGAATATCAAAAAGATTTGCTTTACTGCATGAATGCATGAATGAGTCGCAACAAAATTTACATAGCTTTCAGCCACTGCTAACTCTTCTACTGCTACGCACCACGTTTAAAAATATTTAAATGCATTTATCTCATGAAAAATTAATCTTTTTCCCATCCCTAGTATTAATAATCTCTAATGAAATTAATAATTGTATCAATTTTTTCAAAATTTTTCCAGATATTTTCTGCAGGAATGAAATTAATTTTTTTTTTTGCTTTTTATATCCTCAGACTAGCTTTCAACATTTCAGAATAACATTTACTTAACAATTTTGGAAAGGGAAAGATATACAGTTTATGCAGATTCTATCGAAACTACGGGCAAATTTCATCAATGACTTCAATTATCGTTTGGGGTAACTATCTAAAACAAAAAGAAGCAAGCATGAAGCAAAATTATTCCATTCCCTGTGAATATATTAATTTTTAAAATAAATTTTTGTATATTTTTTTAATTATTTTATATATTTACATATTTTAAAAATAAATGCATATCTGTTTTGCAATTTAAATTTTAAAAAATTAGCATCCAACGAATTTTTTAAATTCAAGTTTGTTGCCTTCTGCTTATTCTTTTGGAAGAAATTGGCGCCTCAGTTATTACTGCTACCATGTTATTGGCATCAACATTATAACTGTTGTTATTTTATATCATTTTTGTTACCAATATTTATAATTTTTCGAAATTGCTTCGGCAATAATTTCGAAATATCTTACGCAATACCTCGAAAATCGAGGTGGTAGATGAAATATATAGCTATATTTCACGTTGCGAAATCTATTGCATACCCCAAATATAACGAGTATAGAAGCTTTGAGTTCGTTAAGTATGGGGTATTTCGAATTTCGAAATATCTTACGAAATACCTCGAAATCGGAGGTGATATAGGCGATATCGAAATATTTATTTATTATTCTTAATTATTATAATTATTATTGTTGTTTATTATTACTATTATTATTGTTAGTATGGTATTGTTTAGTATTAGTATTATTATACATGTTATCATTGGGATTTTAAAAGGTTTAGATTTGAGTTTGCATTATTAAAATTAACATTATTCAACAACAAAGAACTTCTTAAATATCAATGATTTTTTATTATCTTATGGTTTTTTTTAATGGTTTTTTAGATTTTTTAAAAAGAAATTAATATCAGAAATGAAGTAAAATTTTTGAGTTGCAATTAATCGTTCTCAATTTGAACCCTTTAAAATTGATTTTATTACAAATTTGCAATGTTTTAAATTTATTTTTATTATAACTTCTTATGGCTTTCATAGTGAGTGAACAAGTAAACTAATTCAGTATTAAAATCTTGCAATACCGCCGCAATTTCATCATATCAAGTGGTTAGTGCTCACCGTTTCCTACTTAGTTAACTTGGTACGTTGAGAAATTTTTATAAATGAAACACTTCGCTGTAGAAGTGTGTAATCATCCAGATTTTTAATGACAGTTCCAATCGGGATCAGAAAAAGAACTTTTGTCTCTTGACACGATAGCTTAAATCATTCATTATTCACTATTTTGCCCTTCAGTTTGGCTAGATGTCTAGAAATTTCCTAAAATTTACAGTCAATGAAGAAGAATATTCAACAAAAAAGTTGGACCTCTAAGGCTTAAAGATGCGAAAATCGCAATGTATTTAGTTTAAAAAAATCAAATTGTCGACAAAATATTCGAAATTAGAAAGATTGACGAAAAACGATGGAACAAGATAATAGCCGAATACACTTTTAGTAGTAATTAAGATTCAGTTCTCAGATGAGTAGAAGAATAAAAAAGAATGAGGGAAAACTTTGATAAGAAATAATTATTCAACACTATGTTTCCTGACAAATTAGGCCACCTCGCCAAGAAATTATTGAATGTTCTCCAGATTGATTGCTTGAATTGATTTTTCAAATTTTCAAATATTGTATTCATTTATTATAATTTTCTCCTTTATTTCTTTATTTTCAAGTTTTGCAAAAAGAAGCTAATTTTTGCAATCCAGTGATGAATATAACATCGAAAAATGCGATCAACGTGTTCACCACAACAACATTGGGAAACCATTTCCCTCCAGAATATTGTTTCATTATCGACACTGATCGTTTGTCGGAAAGGTTTTGGCTAGTTACCGTTCTTGGCTCAACTTTGTCAGCAATAAGTATAATCGAGAATCTATTTTTGCTCGTTTTATTCGCAAGAAGCAGACAGCATCGAAATAGTCCGTCATTCTATCTTTTAATTCTTGCTTTATCTGATATATTTATCAGTGGCACTTATATTATGATTATGTCTGTCAAAGTATTATATCAATATGCCGAGTGGGTTGCTCTCAAGAGAATCTGGTAGGTTAAACTGAATTTGTGACATTACTTTTTCCAGTAATCTTTAATTAACCTTTAGTTTAGAAATAAATTATCAAAAATTATTTGAGGATCATTTATTTGGTGCCGATGATGACCATGTCTCATGTAGCTATTACAACATCTTCATTTCTTATCGTATTTGCCACTGCCGAACGATTCTTCGCTGTTATTTCTTATCGGAACGTCGAATTCTTGCAAAATAATCGCAAATTGATTGCATTATTAGCTATTATTATTGGACTGGTTACGAAAAGCACTTTGCTGTTCGAGATAAAAGTTCGATTTTGCAATTTCATAATCTTTCATTCAAATCTGATTTTATATTGTTGATATTTAGAGCGATTTCGGGATTTTTTTTGAAACTTCATTGAATTATTTCTTGTAGACATTCGTTCCAAATTTCTTAATTCCTTCTAAGTTCCACTAAGTTTTCTGGATTTTCAAGTTTCATACAGCAAGGGAATGCAAAATTTTAGCATTATTGGAGCATTATTGATTTTTATTGAATTTATCATTATTGAATTTTAGCATTATTGATTTTTTTAATCGAAATACTCCAAATGTACTTATTTTTTGGCTGTTTTGATCAATTTTCCTGCTAAAATCGCTTAAAATAATCAAAATATTGAAATAATTATTTCCCATTTTAATAATGCTAACAATGTTTCATATGGAACAATGTTCACCATTCCTAAACACATAAATTTATTAAAACTCAATACATATCTTATTTATATAATTATAATAATAATTTAATTTTTTTGAACAATATAACTAAAACATCATTAAAAATTTGAATTTTTTCCGAAAAGTACATTGGATTGACATTATGGGGACTGAATTGGCATGAAACGACCCCTAGGATGGCATGAGAAGAAATCCGGCATTATAATCAAAGAAAGGCAATCGCGCGACATTCATATAATCAATGCAAACATTGGCCTTAAATCATTCCAAATTAGCTTCATATAAAGTTATACAACTAATTTGATTTTTGGCTAACAGTTGCATCCATCCATTATCTTCCAATATTCTTATTACATTCAGTTTTTTATTTCCATATAATCATATATTTCAATAAAGAATTTTCACTATTCAACATTCATAACCGTTGGATACAACAATCATGCGAGATTTCAGGCAGTTTACAATCCGGAATGTACGGGCACTCTCAACGAATACAAACTCGAGTTGACGGATTTGGTCATCCACAATGCTCACTATAAATTATGGCGATTCTGGTTCAGAAATATCGTCACTATACTTTTTCCTTTTTTTATATTAATGTATCTAAATGCACGAATAGTTAATCAACTAAGGGAAAATGTGCACATGGCTGTACAAACGAGAAATATCGGCGAAAATATTGCTGATAATATGAAACAAAGAAAGGTTCCATTTTTGACGCTTAAAAAATTCTCTTTCTCATTCGGATAGATAAATTCTTCTTGTTACTGAGCTCAGTGATATGATTCCTTCGTATGTAATATTGTAATATGCACTTATAAATTTGGAAAGAACCAAAAAAGAAGTGCAAATTGCTAACAATAAAAATTTTATTGATTAATAAAAAATTTAAAAATTGCTAAAATATTTTAATTGATAATTTCAATCAGCTCATATAATGAATATAAAACAAACAAATTTCGTTTTATGGAAGTCCGAAAAGAATTTTTATTGAAGAAAATTTTTTGAAAAAAAGCTCCAATAAAAGTTTTGATTATCACATCTATTATTGGACCAAATTATGTTGAAAAGCAAGTTTCTGGTATAAATGATTGGGAAAATTAGAAATGTCAAGAATTAAAATTGAAAAATAAAATGAGATATATAATTAATCTTGAGATGAGAAAAATGAGATATATAACTAATATTTTTTACAATATTCTTTTACAAATTAGCTCCATTGGCTGCCCGTAATTTTTGGAAAAGAGCCACTTCAAAGAAAATAGATGAAGTAGATTGTCCAGATGCTCTGAGAAAGTTGTCTGGATTCCAGATTCACTGAAAGGATTAAAATTTGATCGTAAGCCATAGTGCTTTTAAATTAAAGGATCGTTGCTTAATTAATGGATTTAGAAATCAGCCTTTAAAAAAAGTAAAATTTATTAGTTTAGGCTCGGATACGTGCTGCAACTCGCACGTTAGTACTTGTCGTCTGCACTTATTTGTTGGCTAATATGTTGAATGTAATTATTACAATATGGGAACATACAGATGCAACCTCTCTCTTCACAGGGTTCGTCAAAAATTCTATCAAATCAAATAAACAATTTTGTTGAAAAATTGTCTTTCTGATATTTTATTTCAGAATATCTTTTTTTTTTTTTTTTTTTTTTTTAAGAGTCCTCACCATTACTGATCAAACTCGCTCCACTGGCCTGTCGCATTGGGCACTATGCCAGGGAGTCCCTTGGCGATAGAAGTACAGGTGAGTCGCCAGCATCACCCGACTTCTAGCATCTTATTTATAAAATCTTATTTTCGAAGTGAGAAGTTTTTAAAAGTTTGTTCGATAAATATAATAAATTAAAAGATTTTTTGCTAGCTTTGCATAAAGTATATTCAAATAAGTTGATTAAATTAAAACATGGATTAGTTGATGAACAAATTCTTTTAATGGATAGATGTGAGTTAAAACACTAGCAACGACGTTAGCGCAAAAAATTTGCAAAGATGCTTTACAAATTGATTAAATTAGCCTATTAAATTCGCCCATTTTTGTTTTGTTCTCAAATGAATCTCTGAATTGATAATTAAACTGTTAGTTTTACCGGACTGCATGCATGCAATGTGTAGCATAATGACGTTTTTTTTCGTAAAAAATAAAGTAATATTAAAAGAAATATCAAGAATATATATGGAAAGAATAAGAATATAAAAAGAAAGAAAAAAAGTAATATTCATTCTCGATTATAGTTTTTTTAGCTTCTTGGATTTCTATATCATAAGCGTTGATGCCGTTTCATTACTTACCATCGTGGCTTGTGCTTTACGCTTACCTATTTATGCTAGCTGTCAACCAGTTTTACGTCGCGAGATGATTATCATGATAAAGCGGCTATTGAAAAACCAGGAACTCGAAGAGCGACAAATTCCACTCTTAGAAAAAAATATTGGTGCATGAAAAAGAAGAATTGCATTGATTAATGCTATTTTATCAGATCGTTTGATATTAATTTCATTTTTCTAAAAAATTTTGTTTCTAAAAAATTTCAATGCCAATTTTAAAAAATGAGTGAGTTTTTAAAGGCAAATGCAAGAAATCGAAAATAATTCTTAAAAATTTAAGAGATAAATAATTCAGCGATGAAAGAAGAATAAAATTTTACTGTAACTCAGAAACACTTTATCCATTCAGCAAAAAGCATTCACTTGAAATTCTGATATCTTAGATTCTAATGAGATGGATCGAAAAAATTGTATTTTATTGTTTTCTTATTTGCTATTAAGGAATTGTCAGAGAAAAAAAATAAAGATTATCAGATCAAATGAAAGCGAGCAAAATATTTGACTTAATATTTAACTTAGTTTTTTCAAATTTATTAATTTCCAAACCCTATTTGAGTTGGCAATTTTTTTTCATTTTTATTCGTTTATTAATTACTATTAAAATTTAATAGTTAATTCAGTTTCTTACCAAATAATTTCGGTACACAGCGTTCTAGTAAGTGGTCAATAGAATCGATGATAAAATTGCCGTATTTTAGATATATTTGAGATTTCGCTTATTCGAATGCTTTTAAGAACTAATATAAAAGGTGGAAGGCTAAGAAAATTTTTACTGTGGAATGGTCGAATCCATTTTCTCGATTTCCATTCTTTCTCCTTCATTCCACTAATTCACTTCATATTTTTTAGTTACTTTTTTTGATTTTAATGAGGGATTCTATTCTCAAATTATTGCCTTTGTTGGTTAATTCAAGTACGAAAGGTTAATAACTCAAATCTCAGAAATTTTTATTTTTATTTTTATAGTGATAATAAACAATTTTCATTGCCTGAATTAAATTTACATAAAATTAGATAGAAAATTCGATAATTATTTTCATCAATTCAATGTTATATGCTAGTGTTTCAGTAAATTTTCTTCTTATTCATCGTTTCTTATCAGCTTAATTTTTATGCAATATTGGGATAAGATTTCGCAACAGAGCCATTTGCCTCTTAAAGAAAAGTATTAATGAGTTACCATTATTAAATTCCAGGACAAATAATATTCAACTAGTCGTTAGACCTAAACCTTTTTCTTCATAGTTCTTCGAAGATGCGTACACAATCTTTTCATAAGCTGAAAACTTTCTTTTTTAAAAATGAAAACGTAATATAAAACGATGCGATGAACTTTAAGATGTAGACAAATCTGTAAAATTTCATTGCTCAATAAAAATTCGTAAAATTCGTAAAAACAATTTTTTGCTAAATTTTTGTTCCTGTACTAAGTAAAGAAATCCATTTTCAAACAAATAATTTCTCATAGAAATCGTTGAATTTAAAAAGCTTTTAAAAAGGCTAACGGATTTCGAGAATAGCTCAGTAATTTAGGAGTCGCAAAAATTCCTATTACACATATACAGACAAAAAATATTTAAGCAAAACTTCAGCATAGAATAGTGTATGTGTCATATTTAGATATAATATGCAAAAAAATCCTCATTTCATTTCGGTGACTCCTAAACTCTGGGTCCTCTAAAAGAAGCCTTGGAGATTGAGGTAATATAATAATCTTTCAGAGAGTCTCGCATAAGGATCCTCAGAGAGAATTGGCTACGATTCGAATCGTTGTTGCTACGTTCCATATTAATCGCTAGCCTTAATCACTATGCTATTTCGGCGCCCTTATGGATATAAATACATAAAAGAGAATGTAACCTTTCATTAAACGCATTAAGCACTTCAAAATAAAACATTAAAAGTGGAATTTTCTCGTCGAGGCAAAATTTGCAAAAACTCATTGTAATTTGTATAATTCAATTGTTTTCTATGACTTTCTTTTCAAACAAAGATTTCAACTTATGACATTGCGGAAGAAGCTATGGGATGATGAATTTAAATAAAGCCCTTTACTTTGCATTCATTCTTTATTTCAGTCAAATTTTGCTTGTTTTATTTAATATTAAGCAACTATTCCAGAGATTATGAATCTTCTACTGCTTCCAAAGCTTTTCGCCATATTTCCACATGATTAATAGGCTTTTTACAGAATTTAGTTTTTTTCAAAATTTTAATGAACTTATTCAAATAGTGCTTAAAAATGAAATGTTCATTTCGCCTAATCTGATTTGTATTCTGGAAATTTAATAGATTATTTTGCAAATTCAATGAGTTTGAAAGAAAAAATTTGGTAAATTTTTCTAAATAGTTTTAGAGTTGATCGGTTTCAAAGTAATTTAAAATATGGCATGAAAAAATTGTAAAGAACTGCATCGTATGAAGTAGAACATGTAATTATATTTTCAGAGATAAAAAATGGTTAACTATAATCATGACAATAAAATATATGCTCCAAATTTTGGCTTAATTATCTCAACCATCAATTATTTAAGCCAATTGATAAATAACAAGAAATAATACCAGAAAGAAAAATCATATTAAAAAACCAGAAATTATATCTGAAATATTTTTTAAAATTGTTTTGAAATTTACCGCTTATTGCAAATAAACTGGATGATGCAATCCATTAATCCATTCTGCTTTCCGGTTTACAATTGAAGATTGTGTAATATTTGTTTTTGGTATAAGATAATCAATTTTTACAAAAAATTTCGAAAAAATAGGAAAGTTAAAAATTATCGCCAATATGTCAAGAAATCGAGACAATATTTTCGGGTACTTCAATTTTCAATAATCATTCAATGATTAGTTTATTCCATTGGCTATTAGGATGAGATTTCATTGGTAGAAGGCACTAGTGGAATTCCTAGTACTACTAGATTTATCTTTTAATGGCACATTTATTCCCTTCAAGAGTCAGGAGCATAATTTATGACAACTCGATCTTAGTTGAAAGAACATAGTTTTCGGCCATACTTACAATCATATCAACAAAGTCATATCCTTGATTTGGCCTTCTCTTATGATCATTTCCTACTTTTATTTAGTTAATAAACTTGGAGGGTTTTTTAGAGTCGAAAATTTTTGCTACATTTCAGTTAGAAAAATCAGTACACCACTAATTTTTTCGTAACCTTCGCTGCCAACAATTGTTTCGCTGTAATCAACCATCAATTACGCATTGTCGCAAGCAGAAATGCGGCATTTTCTATCGATTCTTTATATCTTCCATAATTTTATTGTGTTTCTAAATTGCTTTCTAAAATACATCAATACTACTGCACTTCCCGAATCCAATATGACAACGGTAAAATTTTCCATTTTTATTAAAGCAAATGGCAGAAGAATTATTTCAAACATAAATGGTTCATGAAAGCCGTTTTTCTACCAACAGTTTACGTGGCTTGATCAAAAATCTCTCTCATTTCTGTTCATTCATTTTGTTGTGAATAAGGTAAAAAGAAATCTCTTTTCCTGAATATTCCACTTATTTTACAGCCGGAAATAATTGCTTATTATGGATATCCTGTGGAAATCTACAGTGTAACTACAGAAGATGGATATATTCTTGAACTACATCGCATACCATATGGCAAAAATGGTCGGTTTTCCAATTTTATTGATTTAAAAAAATTACAATGCGAAAAAATTTTTCAAAATGAAAATTTATATCTTATAATTAGGAGTTAAAATATTTTTTTTAATATGTTACGAAGATAAAAATAAAATTAAAATCATTTACAAACATTTGAGAATCCTTCATAAAGAATTGGGTTTTAAAATAGGTTATTTTAAATATCCTGATGAAGCAGTACTTCCACTGTAGAAGGTAATTATTGGTTTGCACGTAATACTTCTAATCAGGCTTGCTCCAGTGAATATTAGGATGAGGAATTTTCGCAAGAGGGTCACTTGTAGTCAGAAGATTTTGCTGTTGTCAGAGGTTGAGCCATAATATATTCTTTTAAAATAGACAAGAAAATTCTGAGTTTTCTGCATCAGTTTTTTCATAAATGAATATCGTGGTACAATTTTTAATAAATTGTTTACAATTAAAATATAATCTTGATGCTACATAAGAAAGTTATCTGTAGCGCAACCTATGGAATTATTAAAATTAAGAATTAAGAATAAAATTAAGAATCTTTCTTCGTTCAGATACCTTCCATAATTTCCATTCATAGTCAATAACACATCTAATGGTAAGTTCTGGAAAATATTTTTATTTTCATATAAATATTTTTCTTTTTATTTAAACATTTATAATTAATTTTGCTTTTTGAACGCTTTAGGAACGACGAATGACTTTCATGCGAATAAATCAGTTATTTTTTTACAACATGGATTTATTGGATCAAGTGCTGTATGGGTTACAAATTTGCCCGATCAGTCAGCAGGTGTTTTTACGAGGAATTTTTCTAAAACACTGGTTAATTAATATTTCTGAGACATGCTTCCACCAAGTAAGTATGAAAATACTTCACCATTTCTATTTAGGCACAATGACTGTTAGTGGGATGAAACGATTTTGTCAGGGCATAATGGGTAAAGCATGGAATAACGATTTAGGCAACAATATTCTATGCTGTGATAATATAAAGAAAAATAATTGAGTTATATTGCCCTTAATGTTTCCATTAATTGTTTTATATTTAGGGTTTCTATTTGCGGATGCTGGTTACGACATTTGGATGGGCAATGCAAGAGGAAATACTTACTCGGCCAACCATACTCTATATACGAAGAAAGATCGAGAATTCTGGGAATTTACGTATGTTGAAATTTAATATTTTTAATGGAAATATTTTCCTTATTTTGTAATGATTTATTTCGTTCAGCTGGAACGAAATATCAGAAATTGATCTCAGTACAATGATTGATTTCGTATTGAATAAAACAAATTTAAAAAGTTTATATTACGTTGGGTATTCAGAAGGAACATTAACAATGTTCGTTAAGCTTGTGACTGATCAAAGTTTTGCAAAAAAGGTTATTTCATTCATTTGACAAGTTTTTGGTATTACGCTCCATGGTAAAATGATTTTCATCGTCCTTCATTTTAGATTCAAAGATTTGTTTTCGGCAGATTTCTGAAATAAATTATTCATTCACATTTTTTATATATATTAAATTATTCTAGATCAAAAAATTTTTTGCTCTTGGACCGATCGGAACTTTAACAAATATCAAAGGCCTTATAAAGATAGCAGCAGAAAATTTTATGCGTCCACTTCGGGTTTTTTTTTTTTTAGATCAGTCTTCTCCTTTCTGCATTTTTTCTATTCGTTGCATTTGCTTTACAAATTTCACAAATTTGGCCAATTAAAGATAGTTGAGTGGACAATGGTTTAGATTATCGTATTTAGATTATTGTACGTTGAGAGGTAAGATCCTTCTTCCTGACAGAAAAAATCTGCAATTAAAAAGGTGGTGCCGGCGTCTCTGTACTTTTATCCCCAAGTGAGTCCCTGGTAAAAATTTTCAAGTTGACAGCCTGCGAAGCCAGGCTAACCAGAAATGGTAACCATCTAGCTCCTATATTACACAAAATTTAGAAGAGCTTCTTCTATTTAACATCTAGGCTTTCCTACGCTATGGTAATTTAATTTCCAAATTATGTAGGAAAAAAAGCGATTAAGATAATTTAGAGAGCAATATTTTAATTAAATTAAAAGCTTGATAGCTTTCATTTGGTAGAATTTTTTGAATTGATTATAGATTTTGGTCAGTATTGGTGGTGAATTTATGCCGAATACATCATTATTCAGTCGTATGAGTAAGGCATTTTGTAGCATCCATTCAATAACTGCCCATTGTCAGGACGTAATGTTTCAAATTACCGGTCCAGATACAAGTCAAATGAATCAAGTATAAGAATTAATTTTGAAAATTCTTTGATAAATTAAAAAATTGTTTTAAAAGGATGATAAAAGAAATCTTATCATTTTTAGAAATATTTCGCTGTATAACGTATCCTCTAGTGATTTTTTGACGAAAATATCCTATCTAAATTGTTAGCAGAGGAACTAGTTAGTTCAGTATCAGTGAGCATTGCTAGAAAAACAAGGCAAACAAGATTTCGTTATAACGATAACTTTCGCAATAGATAGCTAGCTTTTTTCAGACTCGCATACCAGTATATATGACTCATTTACCAGCCGGTACTTCAATTGCCAATCTTCATCACTGGGCACAAATGGTGAACAGTCATAAAGTGCAGATGTATGATCTTGGTTCGAGAAGGAAAAATCAGCGACGTTATGGCAGTGTAAATTTTAATATATAAATAATATTTAGCATTTCCAGCTTAAAAAAATCTGTTAAAAAATAGGCGAAATGAAGTCCTTACATAGTTTTTTTTCAGGATTTTCCTCCAGTTCATAATTTAAGCTTTGTCAATGTTCCTGTTTATTTATACTGGAGTGATACTGATTGGTTGGCGGACAAACAAGATATTCAAGTAATCTATGAAAAAACAAAAATTTATTTTGTTGTAAATAACAAATACTTGCTAATGGCTCTTAAAGACAATTATTCTACCACATATTTCAATTTTTGCATTTTCTATTTTCTCTTTTGTTCAGGAAGGACTTCTTGATGTGATACCAGAAGAATATTTGATGGAAAATAACGAAATACAAAATTTCAACCACTTCGACTTTATTTGGGGTATTCATGCAGTGAAAGAAATTTATCAACCGATTCTTAGGATAATTGATAATGATCAGAAGAAAAGTCTATAAATAATCGCTGAAATGATAACAATATAATAAAATTATGCTGAAATTTTGGTGATATTGAAATTACCTTAGCTGATAGTAATAAAAGAATAATACAAAGAACAATAAAAGAATAGTATCAAAAATAATTATTTTTTTGAAATTAGGATCGATTTATTCAAGTATTCAACATTTTAAAGGCCTAAGAAATACAATTCCTTGAATATGAATTTCAATTGTCTTACCATCCTTGACGGTTTATAGAATTAGTTACTGAAATTAATAAGGTAATAATTTGAAAAAAACGCAAGAGCTTTGAAAATCAGTTCATAGCAGTTCAGTTTTATCGTTTCCAAGGCAAATATGGATTAAAAACAATTTGGAAACCAAAATTACCTTTTTTAAATCAAATTAAAAAATTAAATTTTGCTTCGGGGATTAGTAGATGTTGCTACCTTCAAAACTCTTTTTCATAGTAAAGACTTATATGTTAGCAGACAAGTTTATGATATTTATGAATATCGATAACCATAGCAACTGTTGTTGCCTTCAAAATTTCTTCTTTTCATAGCTGAATGAAATATTCTGTTTGCAGCTTCTTACGATGTCATTTGATAACTTTCCCATTTATTTTTTCGAGCGTTATTATTTTTATTTTTTTAAAAATGAAATTCAAAATTATTTGCGCCTTTTTCAGATTTTTAAATATTTTTGAAGAACATTAGCAACAATTTTTTGAAAAAAATCATTCATTTGGATTACAGTACCAATGAATCGCGCGGTTATTATCATACTATTATTTTTTTCTAATTTGCCTTAAAGTGTAAAAACCAACAAAGAAATAATAATACATCAGTGAACAACTGTTTCATTAACAAAATTTTGTGCATGAATGCCGAAATTTTAAATTCGTATTTTATATAATTTTTCTATATAAATATGGAAACCATAATTATATAGAAAAGTTTATTTAATTATAATTTAAATTTATCGTTTTTAAGATTCATTTTTTTTTAAGAGCATTCATCATCACTGGTTAGACTCCGCTGGATTGCCTGATGCAAATTTACCAGGAAGTCCCTTAGGGATAGAAGCGCAGGTGAGCCGCCAGCATCACCGGATTTTTAGACACGCTTATTCCTACTGGGTGTAGAATTTCATCATCGGCGCTGCGAACTGAGTAACAGCCCACTGAGCCATTCTGCTTTCATTTGTTTTTCTCCGTTAGGCACCACTGCCACTCGACGAAATGTGGTGCGTATGTGGATTCAATTTAAGTATCTATTATTGTCAATTATCTTGCCATTGATTGAGCCATCGATGAACCAGTTCATTTATTGAATCGTTTTAGAAAATTCATTTATTTAATTATTTTAAAAATGCAATTTATAAAAGCAGTTAAAGTGATGAGTATTTTATCGAACCAAATCATAGGCGTCTGGTGAGAGTTTTGGAGGTAAAATCGTGATCGATCAGTCCAAAAACGAAGAATTCTCTATTCATTGCGGGCTTCGACAAGTTTATCGAAAGTTGAAAAATTTTTGGCGAGTAGAAATGTTGGAAACTTTTTTAAACATTTGGACATAAAATGATTCATTTGATAAATTATATGTACATTTACATTTAACAAAGAATATCCGATTGAATCAATGATTCAATGAAGAAAAAATAAATGATTTACGGTTTATTAAATTAATTAATTAAAAATTAAAATTAAATGACTGTTAACGCCAGTAATAATTTTTGCATGAAGTCGTAGAACTCATATGGCTATAAAGTGAAATGTATCACCACGTGTATCACCTGTGTTACTTAATGGCAGATTCTCTCTTATTAAGTCAGAGAATCGAGCTTATGTCGCTCGAATCCATTCTAAGCCACCATACATTCCTACCTTATGTAGCCAATAAGCATAGTTAAATTGCCTAAGCCATCTTTCTGTTAATCCATAAGAATACTGACAAAACAATGGTGGACTATTCCTTAAGTATGCCTTTGCATCGTGAAAATTTATTAAAAATTCTTCCTAATTCCTTCAGAAATAATGATGACCTAAGTGAACAAAGTTTTTTTGAATGTCGCATATTCATCATTCCGCATCCAAAAGCCAAATTTACGGAAGAAGAGGCAAGTATTTCCAATTTACCACTTGAGTTTGAGTCACATTTCAGTGACCATTCTAGCCAAAATAATTTTATATCATTCAGCCATTCAGAGAGGTAAATTTATATTAAGTATATTTTGGAAGCCTACTCTTACATTAAAAGTCAAATTCCAGTTTGAATTAATCCGAAAATATTTAAATAAAGGTGGAAGTGTATTGATCCTAATGAGCGAAGGTGGAGAAACTGAAGCCAACACAAACATCAATTTTCTGCTCGAAGAATTTGGTATTTCCTGTAATGATGGTTCGTTATGATCTCTATTTATATTTATTTCTTCACCAATGATATGATAGAAATTATATTCCTTTTACTTCACACCTTCTCTTTTATATTATAATATTATATAATGTAGATATTGATATCTCCATGAAGATTTATTTTTGACGAAAATGGGCTTCTTAACTACTCTTTATGATTGGTTAGAGCTCATTAACTGTTGCCAAATTGCAGCTATCTTTATTTAGCTATGGCAATTGATTTAATAGCAAATTACGAATTGGACTGCCGAAAATTTTTAATAATTTCACAACTGCGGAAGAATTACATAGGCTGAATATCAGTTTTTTTTTCGAATAATGCGCACCACTGCTGGGCTCGCTTCTCTGACTGGTCAGACCAGATAAATTTTGCCAGGGAGTCACTTGGCGATAGAAGTGCAAGTCGGTGGTCGGCAGTATTTTTGAAGACCACGTTTACTCCTGCTGGCAGAAATTTCAGCATCTGCATTTTGAACTGAACAACAATCCACTGAGCCATTCTATCACCTTTTGCCAATCTGCAGCATTGTCATCCAAAGAAGAGCGATGCACCGGATCGGCCGGATTCGAACTCGAGGCATTCTTGCTTTCCATATCGCTTTATGATTTGGGTCATCCAAATGAAGAATGCGAAGAATAACCAAGTACTGACTCTCTGGCGAAGCCATCTCATCCTACTGTAGCCAGCCAGAACATAAATAGTGGATGAAAGAATTTATCATATATGTTAACCATTTTTTTAAATCGAGATTTCAGAATATTATTAAAGTTAATAATATTAAAGTTTCCATTAGACAGAATGAGAATTAAATCAGATCATAACTTCTGTTTTATGGATAAAAGTTATTGGCCAGTGAAATCTTATTCTTATAAATTTCATACTGAGAGAGTACAGATTATAAGTCGCAACTCGCACTATATAATTTAGACTCATTATAAGTAAGAACGGTTAACGAAATTTGGCTTTTTGTTTTATGCGGTCAAAGGTGCTAAATTCCTGCTTATGCAAAAATTTGTCAACACAATTGAGAAAATGAGATTCTTTTTCAAAATAAATTTTAGAAAAGTTATGGTGAATTTTGCAAAAAATATTTTGTATATTTTTTCACAATTATATAACTATACTATATTTTTAATTGGACTAGCGCCTGAAAACTGCTAACTATAGTCTATATTGCCTGGACTATGGCACTATGTGTTCCAATGGATTGAAGTTATTAAGTATGTAGAGCTAAATTAAGCACCCATGACTTTTTCATGCGTACTATTATCTGCTGAAGTGAATTACTTATATTGTCCATACGAAATCGTGTAAGAATCGATATTAATTAACTCAATCCTTTATTTATTATGTACAATCAAAATGAAGATTTTATGAAAGAAGTGAAAATTCACGATATCAAACAAAGTATCACGATTGATTTTTTCCAATCTCTTATCACATTATCAAATTTTCCAGCTTATTGCGTTCCATTTCCATAAAAGTTTGTTGTTTCTCAAGCTTTACTTGCTCAAATATTTAATCAAACTAATCACCAAAACTTTAGATGTAGTTATTCGAACTGCATACTGGAAATTTTTTGATCCAAAAGAAGCAATAATTTCTAATGGAATACTGAATCGAGCAATTCCATTAGCAACTGGAAAACAATTTTCAAACTACGAAGCCGAAAATAATGCACAGTAAATATTCTTTAAATTGACGAATTATTGTAAAATAACCAAAAGATTTCAGAGGAATCTAAAAATTATTGCCTTAAGTTTAGTTCTATTTATTCATTAATTTTTGGATAAAATATCATTGAATAACAATCTTTCTTATATGGTGATTGCATAAAAATTCGAACCATTGAGGGCTTGGATCTGGAATTTTTTTTTCCTGAGATGATTAGCTCGAATGATCGTAAACTGAATTTGAATTGAATTTCAGAGCATTGTGCTTCGTATATCCGTTCGGATGCACGCTAAATGTTAGCCGCCATTCGGTAGCTGTTTTATCCTCCGGAAGTGTTTGTGTTCCTGTTAGCCGCCCAATTTGCGCTTTTCATAAATTGCCTGTAATTATCCTTTTTTGCCTTTTAATGGTTAAATTGCGATCAAGCATTTTAAAAAGACCAGAGAATGATGTACAATTCAATAAATTTAAAGCTCTCAATTTGATTTGGATTACTTTTTCTCTTGTTCTGCGCAAAATTTTTATAATTTCTTACTCGTACACATTTTATTTGCTAACTCCTCCCTAAAGCTTTGAATAAAGTTTGATATTAGATATGAATTTCTATTGTATAGGATACCGTTTATCTATATATATATATATATATTATATTCCAATTTCTGGAATGGTTGCTTTAATCTGCTTCTAATTCTTTGACCCTCACAAGAGTAGACCTGTAATAAAATAATGTGGTGCTGGTGATTTGTATTTTTACCGTCAACTTACTCCTTAGCTAAATTTTTGAAATTTCTAGACATATTACAGCCAATTTAACTAGAAACTACTTATTTCCTTCCCCAATACAATAGTAGTAAAATCTTTTTAAAGAATTAATTTTACAAAAATTTTTTATCGTGCTTTTATTTTTTTGCTTAATTAATTGGAACTTTAAAACTTTTCAGAATATTGGCGGAAAATTGGTTGTAATTGGGTCCATTCATATGTTTACCGATCAATACATAGATAAAGAAGAAAACTCGAAAATTTGGGTAATCAAATCGAAATACAGCATTCTTGATTTGTCAAAGTTAGGGAACGGAATAGAAGGCCTGCCTCTTCAATCAGTTCTTATTGCGGTTGTCCTAAATAACGATGAATATTTACAGGAAGTTGTCATCAAATATCTAATGGGAGAAGTAGAGTTGAATCACATCGACAGCAGCGAGCCTGATCTCATCGATGCTCATCCCATTCCTGACCACATAAATATTTCTGATCAAATCAAAGTATGTTTGCAAGAAGGAGATTTCGAAATTGCGCGTAGTGGTGATTTCTTAAAGCTTTTTGATCTGAGTCTTTACTCTATGGATCTATCATTATGGGCCAAATCTATCGAGTAATTTTTAGTAATTTTCACATCATCATTAATTTTGTTTGCTAAATATCTTTTCTAGTATATGTAGACTGCTTCACATCACCATCATGCTGAGTACCCTCTTGTACTATAATTGTCTGACCAAAAAGTGTCAGCATGATAGATAGTGAAATGAATTTAACCAGAAATGCTTGATGTTGAAGAAAAACAACTGCTGGATCGTTTAGTCTGTAATTTAATTTGTAATTTTTGCTAGCATGAACTGAACAATACGATCAAAACAGTTTCATATGCAACAGTTAAAGTTTAGTTTAGTATTTTTGAATTTCTGTCTTTTCATCAGTTTTAAACATTATCACCAACAGTTTTAATTTTTTCCAGAGCTTATTCTCAACTCGAATTAAAATATGAACAGCTGTCGCTAATTACTCCGCATTTTGAAATTCCCTTGCCTCCCCTCCAGCCTGCTGTAAGTTAGCATTTCATCAAAAACCTTTTGCTTGAACTATATTTTTTGGCTTAATAATAGAATTAAGATCTTCATAGCAATATGATTTCCTTTTTTCAAGATTTTCCCGCCCAATTTCCGTGAATTACATCCACCGAAACTTGAACTTTTCGACCTTGATGATGTATTTTCTTCGGTAGATATACGCCTTGCTCAACTCTGCAACAAATGTTAGTTAAAATTCCTAGCTGATGTGATAAATTTTCTATTATATTTCAGTACTATTATGTATTTCGATAATTCTCCAGTAAATTTGTAGAATTTTAGGTGAGGACACCGATCTCGAATTTTTCATCATGGAGGCTTGTAATTTATTTGACATTGCTCGCAATTTACCAAAAGACGATCGCTGTGCCAAAAGAGTTTTGGAATATGTTTTGCATCAAGTTGTCGAGTTCAAGAAATTAAATCAAGTAAAAAATTTGCTTTTTTCAATTATATTAATAAATTTTGAAATAAACAAAACAAATGAGCATGGGTTTATATTTTCATGCGCTAGCCTGCAAAATAAAATCGAATTTGGTTTGATAACAGTGGACTTTGCCACAAAGTTTTAGTTTTGATATATATTTATAGCTTATAATTTAAATTGCACTTTTTCATTTATAATTTACCGTATTTGAAGCAGCAACTTCTTGTATCCTAAAGTGTAATTGATTGCATCATTGTTATTGGTGCACGTGAATTTTAGGTGTCCTTACCTAAAATTCTATAAATAAACCTTAATTCTCTGAAAGCAAAGCAAATCCTTCCCGCGCTTGAACAATCAATTTCAACTATTAGCTTTGCACTATATTATAAGAAGCAGCTGAGCCCTTCATCAGTTTTCCTCAAATTCTACAATTATTTTTTCTACTGATTCGCACATTAGATTCTTTCCATATGATTGTTAATCCTCTTTTTTATATCCTTTTCATAAAAGGAATATAATAAAAGCCTTTTAAAAATTTACTGTTTCCACCATTTGGCGAATTGAAATAATTAGATATGTCATAGCTGTCTTGAAAATACGCACATTAATTTTTTTTTTCAAAACTTTGACAATACTGAAATTTTTCAGGAAGATTACGATGTGGATAACAGCGCAATTGATGCAGATATTGAATCACTGAATGCAGATGCAGATGATCAAGTTGTGAATCTGGTCAATATGTATGATAATGAACATTATTCCTATGAGTCGGAAGATTATGATGATATGTTGGCTTAATATTAAACTATAGTGAATAACAAACATCGAATTGTTGCATTTATTTCAAGCATGAAACAAGTAATTCTAAAATCAGTAATTCACAGTAATGGAATTGGTCAACGCTAATTCCTTAAAATTCTTTATGCGATAAAGAGAATGTATGGAATTCTACATTTATTTGTAGAGCAGCTTCTTTTAACCATAGGGTCGATAGTAAGAAGCCAACCCCACTCAATCCCCAACTACGAAAAAAAAAATTAGGTATCATCCGGTATGAATAGATTGACAATATATGGCAATAGTACGAGTTAATTTAAATTAAATTAGCTATTGTTATTGATAAATGCGCCATAATTACAAATTAAATGCTAGCAGCTTTCTTCGAAATATTTTCTATTGTGCAGCAGATTAGTTGAGACAAATTATTCGCTCAATAGCCGGTTGCATAAGTGGTGACTGGCTTTCGGAAATCGTTGCTGCCATATATAAAACCATTTTCTTTGACCTCTAATGCTTGCACGGAACCCAAGTATTGTTTGCTAGGAACCATTATTTGAGCGTAATCATTGATCAGATAGCTTATTAATTTCTGAAATACTTCTCAAAATATGATTAAATAATTATTAGAAAATGGTAGACCAACTTTGTTTTGATAATTGGTGCAGCGGTGATACTATCAGAGATAAAGAAAAATTTAGAAAATTTATTTAAAAAATTTCTGATTTTAATATGCGTATCACAGTACTAATAATCTTATTGAAGCACAGTCATAGCCTTTATAATTTGATGGGCGCAGTTTTTTTTCAGTAAAGAAGTTTGATAATATCGAAATTACTTGTGGGAATGATTTTTCGTATTCTGTCGTTGATGGACCAAATTGGTGTATTCTCGGTGCATCGATTGCTTCTTTTACAGTTTGGTTGAAAAGGAATATTCGGATAATGACTTGTGCCATTGCAGAAATCAAGGGTGATCCGCCTGAGGCAGCAATAGCCAGTTTAGTCTAAGTAAATAAAAATCATGAAATTCCTGTCATTCCATGTTTCCCATGCTTTTTTCGAGAGAGAAGGCATAATCTTTTGAGAATATAATTCTTTTAAATGTCATCCCTAAATGTTATAAATTTAACCTTTCCTGTTTTTTTGCTGTAAATAATTAAGGGTGACATGCTGCTCATAGGTCTTTTGCCTGGTGCAATAGAATTTGCTTCATGCTGGTTGCCATTAGAACCATTTTTACTCGGTTGTGAGAAATCCTGCATATTGTCGTTCCAAATTATTCCAAGTGTGGGTGATGCTCGCATAGAACCAAATCTCAAATGCGATAATGGGAAGCTACTGATATTTTATAAGCACCAATTTTCCATAAATTTAGTCTAATGAAAAAAGGGAAATAGAATATATATTCACTATGTTTATAGTAATAAAGCATCCATAAGGAGAATATTCGCTAAATACAATTTTTAAGACAATAAATTATCGAACAGTGGTTAACCGATACATTCTATTTAATGAACCAGAACATGAAACAGCATTATTTGATTGGTCGATGATTACAACACTGGAAGTACCATGATCATCCCTTTGATTTGTCTTTAGATTGTAATATTCTTTTGGTGCGATTTTTTTTTGTATCATCGTTTTGATCCACCTTGCATAAGTTCTAAAAATTATCCTCAATCAGATTTTTGCTGAAAATAGAATATATGCTTATTCAGTATGTACGAGTCAACCTAAATTAAGTCGAAGTTGAAGTTTTCAAATAACTTTCTTGGGATGCTTTAATCGTCGTATATGGAACGAAAAATTTTGAAAATTTTGCTACAACTATCTTCCCAGCTTAGGGATCCTAATCTCGAATAGCCCTCCATAATTGGGACCACTTTGGATTCCACTCTCTGCATTCTTCCCTAGTTCCTTTTTCAGCCCCTGGCTAACTTCTCATATTTCTTCTTCCTAACGTTCCTGTCATTTGCTATTGTTATGTTTATCAGTGCTGATTTTTAATTCTTGTCTACTACCACAGTGACTGGCTGATTAGCCAATGCTTGCTTATGAGAAGTGTCTTAAGATTTTGGCCTTATTGTTCTTCGCAGTATCTGTGGAATCTACCATCTGGTCTTAGGAGGGTCTAGTCCACATACTATGCTCATGTAGACAATACCAGCTACTTGATTGTGCCTTTCAGCCGTTCTTGCCTGAATCTTATGCTCTCCTATACGTTGGACAAACTCTGAGGCTTTTCCGCACCATATGCACCATTTTGAATCCTTTCTGATGTGGTGGAGCCCTACTTCGATGGATGTGACACTTACGCAAATATGCATGCATATATATTCATAAACAGAAATTCAGATATATATTTAAAATATGTTTAAATTATGATATTATTTGGCCAGTTTGAGTTAGCCAATCCTGCATTATTTAATAATAAAGCAAGAATATCAAACAATGCTTTGCTATTGCTTGGACTTAATGAGATCCATCTAATCTTTATTGATCCTTTGAAAAAAAAACTTGTCTTTCATTTTTTCTCATAGCTTGTGGAAGTTTTCAATATAGATCATTCAATTATTGACACAAATCGAAACCTTTTATGTAAATGGGAGACTAACTTTTTTGTCATGTTTCTTGCTATTTTCATAAGCGCTTCATTGAAATAAGCATCGCCAAGTTTGAATTTGTCACCATAAGTATACTTTCCTGCCTCGATGAACGTATGATAAAACAGAGGACTTTCAAGGGAGTATCCTTTTTCCCTTCCGAAGAACTCTAGATAAATATTATTGATAAGGTAAAGAGCGTAATTATAACTGGTCAAATTTATTCTAGGAACGACTCAAGAATTTTAGACTAATTTTACTGAAACAAAAGTTTCAAAAATTACGCATTAAAAAATTGTGAAAAAACGATAAGTTTCACATTATTCACGTAATTTGACCTACATTTCTTTCAACTCTCACCATTTTTGCTTTGGCTAATTCTGCTAGGTCAAAATTCATTCTTCAAAAGAGCCGTTCAAGGACAGAAATGTTGTTGGTACTCCAAGAAAATGCGAATTTTACTTTTAATAAGTTTGCTCCAGCTGAGCGACAGAAATCGAATACGTGATGGCCTTGATTTTAGTCAAGACAGTATACCGCTCAACCTTGCACCCTATATAAGGAGGCCATGTGTAAATTACCACAAAAAGTAAAAAAGGCTATCATTAATCAAAAATTTATGGCATTAAATTCATGAAAGAAAGAAATTACTCATGGCATTAATTTCAAAATCTTTGCTTTGCAAAAAAAGTCGACTGAAGAATAATCAGAATTTCAGAATGCGATAAAAGCTTTAGCTATCATTCTATACCTACTAAAGAAATTTCCGATAGTTTGGCAAGAATAAAACCTTATTAGGACAAACCTGAAACGACTGCAACAATACTTTGTGCGACAACTGCTGAGCTTGGTGGTGGAGGACCACACATTACAAACTCATCGAGAAATTCTCTGTTTTCGACCGGGCTTTCTTCAATGTCAGTCGCAAATGCCCCCAGATCGTCAAGTGTAATGTGTCCGCATGAAATTTTTTTATTTTATTAAAGGTCTTTTCTCTAAATGAATATTTCAGCCGAACAATGGCATATTTTTCACATTCTTTTTTATGAAAATGCAGGTCAAGATTTCCTTTAAAAACTATAGATATTGCTTTACATAAAATGATATTTAAAAAACCATTTTCAAAGATTTCGGCAGCAATTGTTTGAGCAAGACCACCTGAAATCGGTTTTTTAATTATTGTTTTGGGCTCATTTATAAAGGAAAACAAAATTGATAAACTTGCTTAATAAGCCTAAGTACTGATTTTTTAGAATTGGGCTAGTAAAAAATAAAGCACACTTTGTGGCCTCCCAGGATTTCTTCAAAAAATTGTCAAACCTTGATAGAACAAAGCAATTGGATCTGATGAATTAGCTATAAGGCGTAGTGTGAATCCAAGATGTTCACGTTTTATTATATCTCCTTCTTCATATGCTCGTTCAGTTATAGGATCAATGAAAATTTTCCTCAAAATCTCAATTTAAAGATAAACATACTAGTTTGGTGATTACATTAAAAGTGAAAAAAACAGCAGTAATTTTTTACCAAAAGGTACGATTCGAAATTATAAGTACTTTAATGCACTATCAAGACGAATCTGATCTTCTCTTTCAGTTAAAATCGCTGCCAAACTGAAAGAAACTGGGAAACCATTGATAGCAAGATCAATCGATGGCTGAAAAAGTTCTTCCCAAACAATTTTCCCACTACCGAACTTTTTATATGCTGTCCAAAATCCATGCACTTCAGCAGGAATCGCTACTGCATTATAACCTTAATTCAGTATACATATAGTATTTGTGAGAATTTGTATGAAAAATTGTTATGAAAGCAACTTTGACGTTTAAGTTTTAGCCAGAGTGGATTACATGAATGAGCTACTAACTGCTTGTAGGATATGGTCTCATTATTTTTAATATTGATTCAGTGACATCTTGTATCTTTCAATTCTTGTAAATTTATTTTTAATTACATATATATTCATCCAACTAGGTAAATTATAGGAAATATTCATCCATCTAAGTAAATTATAGGAACCATGTTTAGAATAATCATTATCGTAAAATGTTGATATATTCAGAGAATCTGGCGCCTTTCCTCGAGCATTTAGAGACAAACAATGTTGATTCGTCCTGAAACAGAAAAAGTTGCCTATTTTTCACAACGATAGTTGGAATATGCATTTACCTATGCTATGAGGTTTAATGGAGAGATATGGTAGGTGATGCTAAAATGTCAACATCAATGTGCAGTAGAGTTAAAGTAGGGAGGAAAAAAGTACTTTCACCAAAACCAACCTTTGGTCTTTTTATAATATTTATACATAGGACCATTATTCGTTTGGTTGATTCTTGTAGTGAATATTTATAAACATATGCGTTCTTTAACAGCCTAAGTTTATATCCATCTATTGATAAATCTTATGCAAAATGCGGAAACGGTTTAGCCAAAATGATTTAGATAAACACTGCTAATTGTTGCAATTTAAATAAATTGAAATAATTACTGACGAGTTGTAGATCGTCATGAAAAATCCACCACCAAGACCCGAAAACTGGGGATTAACGACTCCTAGACAAAGCATTGAACCAATCGCTGCATCAACAGCATTCCCTCCAGCAAGAAGTATGTTTCTGGAAGTACGTTTCAAGTAGCACAATTTTTCCAAATGGAATTTGGTCATATTCTTTAATTATACATAGGAGCAATATTTACTTGTTATCCTATTCAGTTGCTACAAGTAAAAAAGATCAAAGAGTTGTGATTCTCGAAATCAAATTAGTCCTTACCGCGCGATTTCGCTGCATTGTCCATTTTCACTACTAACGGCTGCTTTTTTGAATTTACCCAAAAAGCTGGCACTTGGTTTGGGCCATTTTATAGAATCATCCATAAAATTGGTGCTCACATTGCAAGATAATTTCTTATCGTTGTTGTTCTAAAAATCGATTAACAAAGAATCTTTCATAAATCATAATTGATTTTGGTTTTGCTAAGTTAGAAATTCTTAGTCCGTTATTCAATGTCTTTTTTCAGATCATCTAGCAACAAGGCATCGGCATTTTAATGATGCGATTTCATTGTTAAATTTTATATTCTCCTAATTTCTGAATAGCGAGCGTTTTACCTTGTCTTTTGCTTGCATAAACAGTATTTTTATCAGCACTGCACCGAGAATAATGGTAGCAATAAGGAATGACACTGTTGAAATCACGTAATATATAATCATTTTTGAGCCACAACTGAAATAAATTCCTATTAAATGATGGTTTGAATGATTTTTTAATGTAACTAGTTTCCTGCCTTAGCATTGTTTATATGATAAATAAATAGATAGATAATATATAATATAATAATATATAATAACAGAATGTTAGATTATACTGATATACTGACCGCTGATTCTTCCTTGCGATTGTTGATTTAGCTCTTGATGAAATAATAAATTCATTTGCATTATTTGCGATCGAATCGAATGCATCCGGCATTAATTACAGTGAAAACTTTAAGAACGGAATTAAAAATAGCTTTCTGTATTTTCGTAAAGTGCTGAAATGAATATAATTAATAATGATAACAGTAAAGAATAACAACTTAGACTTGTTCCCAGAGGCATAGCAATGATTTAATAAAATCGCATTCATTGATGAAATCACTGAGACGAGGATTCCATATATGTGGAGCGATAGTTAATCAATAGAAAAAATATAGATTAGACATTCTTATCCAGGCAAAATAAAAAAAGCCACAAATAAAAAAATGAATTAAAGCGTCGACAAAGTTTGTTGTATTTATAATGAATAAAAAAATTGTGCAAGTGGCCGGTTAAATCGTAATTGAGAGGCCAGATTAAACTAAATTATTGTTTGGCATAAATTGATACTTCTAGAGAAAAGTTTCATTTTAGTAGTTAGTGAAAAAAATCCAAATAAAATTAGCGAATGCTGTTAAAAGAAATAAAAAATAATTTGATCCGACTTCTTTATAAAAATTCTTACAGCTTTTTTGTTGATTAATTTTTACCTATTCATTTCTTTTTAAAAAAACACCGGATATTTGCGATAGAAGTGCAGCTAGGCACCAGCATCACTCGATATTCACTTTTTCAACACCATATTCACTTCTCCAAGGAGCAAAGGGCAAATTAAATATCTGATGCTTGACACAGACAAACAAATACCACAAAAAAATTTCTTTTTCTTAGAATTTTCTTAATTTAATTTCTTTTTAAGTAAGAGCTAAAACAATGCGAAAATTTCTTTGATATTTTTGGAGAAAATTTGCTGGTTTGGTTTCAAGTTCTTGGATCATTTTTAGAAGTAAAAAATATATTTTTAAAATCAGCGTAAAGTGCTCAATTTTTTAAAGCAATAGCAAGAAATATGAAAACTTATCATATAAACTTAAATAAACTTAGAAGTATGTAATCGTGATACTTTCATAATGGTGAACCATTGCTTATTCTTTTTCTCACCATTACTTGTTAGAGTCAGTTCTCTGGCTTGTCGCACTAGATAAATATGCCAGCGATGCCTTTGACAATAGAAATACACGTAAAACGCTAACATAATTTTTGGACAGATTTAATCCTGCCGGGAGCAAAACGCCAACATTGGTGTTCCGAAATGCGCAACAACCCGCTGAGCCATCCATTCTACTCTCTTTTGTTTTTCTCCATCAAGCTACACTTCAACCCGATGAAGAGTGGTGCGTTAACTGATTTGAACCCATGCCTTGATTCTTGATATTTTGTCACTGAGTCACCGACAAACCATTGTTTTGTTCATTAATATTCTGACCTAGTCATTAAATCATAACTGAAAAATTTATATTAATCTATTCAAGTGTCCTTTAAAGTGCTAATTGATGGCTAATGGAGAAGGAAACTAATTCTATTTTCAATCGTATTGTACTTAAATAAAACTTTCCCAGCTTTTGAACATCTTTATTATGTTTGACAGCAAAAAATTTCCGAGAAATTGGGTACCAAATCAGAAAATACTGAGCATTTTGAAGTGTTCGAAGCATTTTTGTCAGAGATCCGCTCGAGGACGGAAGTTCAGATAAGTTCACTACCTCCACTTGGATTTTTTAATTTTATCCTATTGGAGCCAATATCTAAATCTTGATAGTCGACGCGATAATCTGGGCAACAATCACTCTGTGTTAACTAATTTCCTCGAAAACAAATAAAAGCTGAAAAATGGAATGTTAAACAAATTACCCAAAGTAACTTTAGTTAAAGCTGAAATTCTCGCTATCTTAGAGACAATAGATAAATAAATAAATTCCGTACATCTTTTTACAGAACTCATAAATTTTATAAGGATGAAAAACATCATGAAGCGAAAAAAGAACAGGTTAGCAAGTGGGATAATTGTTCAAGTAACGAGAGCAACTCTTACTTATCCATTGTTAAAAACCGGAAGATTAATCATATGATGTGAGATCAATCATAATGATTCGAAATCTATTTATTTTCTGCTACTATTTAATTTCAGCATAAATCAAATAAATGAAAGGATTTTTTTGGATGAATCTATCTATAATCAAGGTTTTTAGAATGAATTATGTAAAACTTGAAAATTCATCTAGATAAATTCCAAATCAGAGGAATTACTTTTTTGTTTTTGTCGAAGAGATCACTAATGAAGATTTAATTTCGAACTAGGATTTTATTGACAAAGTGATTAAAATAAGAAAAAACTGCAACTGAACAAAAGAAGAGCCCAAGTGATGAATTTCCTTGGTTCTTTTTTTCTCAATAATGCTCATCATTTCTAGCCTGGTTTGCATTGGTTATTTGGAGTTCGGGAGAGGTTATTTGCACATAACCAGGTTTCACTTTTAATCGAATCTATTATGGCCTTATGCAGTGCTTCATCTTAGCAACAATAAAGGTTATTCCTGTGATTTATATGCATGAAGTAATGTTTGTGCAGTTGTCGCATAAAAAAATATTCGTTAAAAGATGTGAGTTTTGGGAACGGCTTTCTGGGATCCTAGGAAATTGATTTTTCAAATAAAACAGATGATAACATTTTCAGTATTAATCCGTTTAAATCTCTCTAGTTGAATTATAAGTTGCGCAGAAATTAATCAACTTTTTTTAAGCGAAATGGATTTTGAAATGAAAAGATTTTTTCTAAAAATCAAGCGGCCAATAATATATTTAGAGAAAATTTTTTTAAAATTTTCATTCGTTTATGATTAATGTTGCGTAAATATAATAATTAATCATATATAATTGAAATATCTTAAAATTACCTAAGAATAAGTAACTCAATCATTTTTTAGTAATATTATAAAAATGGCGACGTAAAACTTAGAAATCTTGTGGAAAAATTATCTTATCATTGTCATAAATTATCTTGAAATATCTGAACCATTGGTCTATTCACTTTTTTCTTAAAGGATGGAAAATTTCGGCACCGATAAATATTTATCTTCAGTAGAAGCTGATGAAATTCGATAATTACTATGATTTGAAGTTTGGATATTTGTTTCAACAACTATCGTATTTAGCTTAGAAGAATTTGTTTAGCGAAGAAATTGTGAGAATAAACCTATGTAAATTTTGAACAGGGCTAGCTAGTTTCAAGCATCTTGAGAGCCCCTACTTTTTAATGGAAATTTTCAACGAAAGTATAACGAAAGTATAATCCAAGTGGTGCTATAACCCATTTATTTATTTTGATTTAATACAAAAACTTCTGCGAAGTTGTGCGAATTTTTTAATGCTTACTCGCGGAAAAGAATAAAACTGGTTATATCAACCAGCTGTGAAGCAATCTCATTAATTAGCTATGAGATATTTAATTCATCAATGAAATTAAATTAAACATCTGTTTATAAAAATTTACACAGAATAAAATTCAGCTCAATCTTTTTCGCAGATTTTTTTTGCAAAATATTTTTTATAAAATCAGGAGCATTAAATTTTGATTCATTCTACAATGAAGGTGGAAGTTGAAACTGAGTGAGCATCGATATCGTGTTGAAAAGTAAGAATTTCGACTTCATCGTCAGGAATGAATATATCGCTGTAAGGCATAGCCATTTTTGCTTCTGTCAATGATGCCTTCAGAAAATTTTCACATGCTCAAAACCAATTAAGCTTAACCAGAAATAATTACACCTACATACTATAACGGCCAATTTGAAGAAAAAATACGAAAAAGAGAACACTCAAAAATCGCTTTTGTAATTAACCTTAATTTGTTAATTAATTTTTTTGAAATAATTTATCTTCACAACAAACCTAAATATGCCATATTTTAGTAGATTTTATTTTAATGAACTTGATATATGTTAGAATATAGGTAGAATATGATGGGCTGAAACTCAAATTAGCCTCCTCTTTATATTCAAATAATATTAAATTGAAAGTTATGTGCTGTAGCCACATGAACATGGTAGATTCACAAATCAATGAAATATTCGAGATTCTTTACTTGTAAAATTTCTCTGATTTAAGGTCTAAGATTTGCCTTATTGTCGCCGATAGTACTAGTCAGCATAACTAATGAAAGTACGAGTTGTTAAAATAGTACCATCATAACCTATTTTTTATCATTTCATTTCTTTATTAATGTTTTTTTATAAATATTTATTAATATTGACAATTGATGACAACGCACATGCCTTTCATTTATATGCCATTTATATTAATTTCCTAAATTTTGTATGTATGAATTGGGTAGTTTCGATTGACAGTAAAATCTATTAATATAAATGATATTGTCTGTTTTTTATATTGCTTTTTGTGCATTGGCTTGACATATGTCAAAATATTAATGGATTTATTTTCTTTACTATTCTCATTGTCGAATCGAGTGGTTAGTTCCCAGCATTCTACAATGATTTTTATTTTGTTTTTATCTTTAAGTTGTTTTAGGGCAATTTTTTCACAAAGTCATTGCCAAAATAATATTGACATTTAGACTAATTTTTGTTTCTACTTTATAAATGTATATTAGTTGTTCGTTATCAATTATTAAAGGTTTAATTATCCAAGTTTGAGGTTATACCAGCGTAAATAAATGTGCTCTCACTCTTTCGCATTCAAGTCAAGTCCAGCATGGCAGATATTATAAAATTAGGGAAATGTCGTGGCATAATTCCCAAACATTATTACATTTATAAAAAAAAATCGAAAGTGACAAAAATTTCAAACGCTGGATATCGAAAGACTTAAGGTTTATTTGCTAATGCTCTATAAAATTTTATATGATCTTTTTG